ACGTCATACACCAACAATGGACGGGACGTTTACTTAATAACGTCATACACCAACAATGGACGGGACATTTACTTAGTAACGTCATACACCAACAATGGACGAGACATATACTTAGTGACGTCATACACCAACAATAGACGGGACATGTACTTAGTGACGTCATACACCAACAATCGACGGGACATTTACTTAGTGACGTCATACACCAACAATGGACGGGACATATACTTAGTAACGTCATACACCAACAATGGACGGGACGTTTACTTAGTAACGTCATACACCAACAATGGACGGGATATTTACTTAGTGACGTCATACACCAACAATGGACGGGACGTTTACTTAATAACGTTATACACCAACAATGGACGGGACATTAACTTACTGACGTCATACACCAACAATGGACGGGACATTTACTTAGTAACGTCATACACCAACAATGGACGGGACATATACTTAGTAACGTCATACACCAACAATGGACGGGACGTTTACTTAATAACGTCATACACCAACAATGGACGGGACATTTACTTAGTGACAAGAAGTAGGTAGCACCCTTGCGTATAAATACCATTCACACAGAACCAGCCAATCACCGTAGAAAACAGCTAAAGTACGTAATGTCTGTTATCATGATGAACTACAATTTGAAATAAGCTACTGACAGATTAAGACATCTTCAGGTTTTTTTTATCAAATATATTTATCCTATTTTGCTTGAATCTTCTATTTGAATGTACCTACCGATGCTTGGAACCAGGACTGTTTTTCGTTTGATTTGCTGAAGTAATAGCAATGTTTCCTGAAAGGCACCCATCCCCTCGGACAGCCCCAGCCAGCCACTGAAACAAAACATATCGGACCACCCTATGTTAATTTTGATACTTTGTGGAAAGAGGACATAGGTAATTTGAGAAAATATGCAAATCATTTCAAATTTTTGTTTTTATCAATTTTACTTCTGATACAAGATGTTCGCTGATTGCGTTGTATAAGAAGAAAAATGGATAAAAAATATTGAAATATCACTGAAACGCAAAAACAAAATGCAATGAAAAATATTAGAAATATATCGGTGACACGCTAGGACAAAATGCAATTAAAATATTAAAAAATATCAGTAACATACAAGGACAAAATACAACTGAACATTTGAAAATATCGGTGATACGCTAAAACAAATAATACGAGAGCTGAAATAAGGACTAGAATCAGTAAACAGAAAAATAAAGCTTCGGAAGGCTCAGTGATCTCCGCACCATGTGTGGCATCCGACCTGCTGTGTCCAGACTAATCAAAGACAAAATGTCTGCAATAATCATGACAGGAACAGTGAACATGTCTTTTATAGTTGCAGATACTGAAATCCTATAGAAACTCTAACGTTCCAAAACACGCAATCTCGCTAATTAATAATGATTCAACGTACAATTTGGTAAAGATCCGTATGTATAACACCTATTTAAATTTTCAAAATACCCAAAAATCTAAATATTTTATAAATATTATAGTTTTATTTAAAAAATCCAACATGATATCAAAGCCTCAAAAACCAAAACAAGAAAATGCAGCAAAGCTGCTGGACACCAAATCTGTTTATGCAAATGACGTACTGACAGTCCAACAACCACGAGAGAACGGATCCTGTATACTCGAATTTATTTAATTAGGATTATATAAATGTATTAATTTTGTCGTTCAGAATATTCTGCTCACGCTCACTACCCTTTTATTTTGAACTATTTTTACTCAATAATTGTCCTACAGCACGCAAATGTACAGTTTTAACCGCACGTTTAGGCATAACTGTCAACGATTTAATAATAACGTCATCTTAAGCTTCTGAGAAAGAGAAGCCGGGACATAATATAATTTACATAAAATATCATTTATACCTTTTGTCAAAATCGCAGCGACTTTTGCTAATATTACTTTTGACAATGTGTACCTATTTGACTATTTTTGGATAAAACATCAACCGTCTTCTAGGTTAAAGCGTCAATCTAGTCCCCCGCCCCTTTGGATAATAGATATTACGTCACGAGAATGGTACGTAGACACATTTCGTCACAGCGCTGTTTTTTGTTGTTGTTAACACATATTTTCGTTTTAAACAAGTGAAATACATATATCGTATTGAACGGTACAACCATGAAATTGTCTATTTCTCCCCTTTTTTCCGTCACACCACGCAAATATTGCTACATTAGAAAAACGCGGGAATGTGTAGCGTAGTTTTTGACGCCAAGTTCTGATGATATCATGCTTGACAGCAAATCAGAGAACCATTTTGAATGGACTTTTACTGCAAATTTGCCATTTGCTGCTACAATTTGGTAAAATTTCCAGACAAAAATTATATTTTATAGTGTAGTTATGTAAGAACAATAATGTATTTTGCAATGGTAGACAACACAACCACTTTTCTGCCGTCATTTCATCTAAACCTGAAACTGAAAAACTCCGCAGAGAATAGAATATACCGTTCGGATTATTGGTCACTACTTGGAGTGACGTCTTCAATTGGGAAGATATACTATTTCGTTTATTTTCACTGCATTGAAGATATGGAGAATTCATGATATTTCACTAGTAAAGTGTAATAAATACTGATACCATAGGGTTTACCATCATATTTTTTGTAGACAGTATGCGGCCTCAATTTCCCAGAAGGCTTTTACACACGTAATTTAAGTTCTAGAAGTGTTTACAGATCAAACCCCGGCGGCACCTCGCGCTGCTTGGGTGTTTGAAAAAAAATGGATATTTAGATGATTATTCAAGATATCATTTTATCACACAATGTACTGTGTTATCCAGTGAATATACCCATGTCTTTTTTTGCGTAATAACCCATGCAATATGACCTAGTAGCCCTCTAATTAGTTTTAAGTTTCAATTGTTTCAATTGTGACGTCGCGCCTAGGACAAGTACATGACGTCACAAACTTACGCGCTGGAGTCAAAACGGCGGCTTTTTTCATTTCATTGTTGTATGGAAATTGTCGTTTTACACGAATAAATGCAACTCATCTTGATTATGTGATGAAAAGGATCTTATACTCGTATTCATTTATGAAACTCGTCATAAATTTTTCATTTTAGCTCGCCAGAGGCTCGCTAAATTGAAAAAAGTCTTAGACTCGTTTCATAAATCTCATATGAAATGAAAACTGATGTAAGATTCTATATATATATATATGAGAAAATGTATACATTGTAATACATTTTCTATAAATATGGCGCAAAGGTTCAAACGCTGATCATCAAGTGATCATGACCGAGCACCGCATTGCCGGTCCTTGGTATGTATCGCGCTGCCGAGCGTTGTCCAACGTGGGATACTAACCGGAAAAAGGTAGCTGCTAACTTGATTTCGACAAAGTCTTTATATAAACGAGATCGAAGGTTTCACGAAGTCTTTTTCGAGGAGAAATACCTTGCCCGCCTACACCATATTCACATAGACAATAACGTCGACCACTATACAAACAGGTCCAATTTGTGGTTAAAGTTAGCACTTTATCAAACTTAATAAATACGATAAACGATTAGTTATTTGAAATTTTTGAAAGATTATCATTAAATATAAAACATCTGAAAATATAAAACGGTTCTTGACTTTGGCTCTTTGATAAAAATGACAATACATGTAAAAAGATAAACTTATAAAAAAAAGAAATACAGATTATCCAATTTGTTTTCTCTATGTACTGAAACATACCTTCTGTGACCATGATGGCACTAAACACCAGGGACATCAACAGGACATTCATCTTCGATGTAGTCAGTGGTTACCAAGAGGAATGGGTGAGGAGAAGACGGGCACCTGTTTTATAGGTAGGGGTTACGTAGTCACATCTGGTGAGAGCATTAAAAACACAAAAATGTATCGATGTATGTAAACCATATGTTATCTCCTCAATCCGTGATTATGTTTACTTGTGACTGGTCACATTACACCTGTTGTTGCCAGGAGCCCCCAGGTTTGGTTCGCAATAATACGCATCCCACGTAGATTTATTGTTCAATCGGGAAGATAAAACGCTGAAATCGATGAGGACGACGACGAGCGGCAGGCCTATGTCGGATACACGTTAAATAATTATCAATTGATGACGTCACTAATGGTATTGCTGTGGGTAGATAGTCGTAAACGTGTTTTGCACCTGAACTCTTTCCATAACTATTTAACCTCTTTTAACTGGGAATACTAAATAATTAGATATCACACCGGAATTGGATGGTCTATTTAGCGGCTGTTATTTAGTAATTCAAAAGGATATGAGCAGATAAATGGCGTTTTAAAAAAACCGTCTACGTTTAAAGGTCCGTTTGACTGTCCTTTGTAGAGAATAGGCATCTTGACCTGACAAAAACTCTCTGACACGTGTCAGGCCTATTTTAAACTTCCCTTCCTTTTTAACGAGCTGATATAACTTGTATGGACCAGTAAATGACCCAGCATGTTTGGGGTCGGACCAAATACTCTCCAAGTACTGTTGTTCCCCTGACGTCAACATTGTAAATGGCTGAAAACTCATATATGAAATCTAATTATAAGAGAAAACAATTAAGGACAAATGCATATAAATTGTACACTGATATTTGTATTTCCTCCTTAGAAAAAATGTACCTTACATGGCACTGTTAGAACAGGAAGGCATCCAACAGGACATGTTACAAATCATTATCAATAACAAATTTAATTTAATCCAGTAGATTATAAGAAAATGAATCTACTAATTGTCATTTCAACATCCCACAAAAGTACTGGTTTTACTGGTTTTACTGATTTTACTGTTGCGACACGTAGCATAATTACGACAATGAACCAAAAAGGTGGCAAGTTTTTTATACAAAAAACAGGACATGAACGATTTATTTAAACGTAACTCATGAAAAAACGGTTCGAGTCGATTGCAAGAGCATGGAATTTGATTCGATGTCTATATGAAATAAAGAGGATTAAATTAAAAAACGATTTTAAATCTCTCGAAAAGTTATCGAAGTTATCGCCGGAAGATAAAGTATGATAATAGTTTCATGAATGAGGGCCCTGAAGTGCGATCTTTAGGTATTCCTGAATCAGTTTTGCAATATTTATGTTTTTATAACATTAATAAGACAGTCTTAAACATACCAGCTTTGCATTCATATCATCTGTTACTGTATATACACATTCCTGTCTGTCGAAAAAGATTAAGATTTTATAATAAAAAATACACAGACTTTTAGGTGTTATAACAAATCCCAAATAATATATAATTTGATTCAGTATCATGCACATAGATGTTCTTCCGTATTATACAGTCAATAATGTTTTCAATAATGCTAACCGGTCTTGTTACCGCAATATTTGATTTACACTAAATATCCATTCCTTCCCCCTGCATGTTTATTAAAAGAAACGAAACTCTATCACACCCAAACCATAACCACTCGACTTTATCTTTACTGATACAAAATTTACTTTTAATGATATATTGTAGCAGCATATAAATATGTAGGGAAATGAAACAAAGTCGTGACCATGCTCTGATTTGTCTTTAAATCACATTCTGTGAAAGGATCGACCGGCATTGCATTTCTTCTAAATCATTGGATTTTGGAATAATAATATACAGGACCGTTTATGTCTTTAATGTAATGCCAGTTACATGTGGTTTATACATCTAAATGGGTCGTTGAATGATAGGACAAGGCATTCTCAACGTTTGTAATTTCTGTTGATATATTTTCGTGTTTTCTTAGACATTTTCTAAGCAGAATCAATCATGACAAATAATTGTGTATGGGGTAATACTATTGTATATGTATACGATATTGGTAGACCAACATTGCAATACGGTATACGAGTCTAACGAATCTTGGGTGGCCTGGTGGCGCAGTGGATAGCGCACTCGCCCTTCATCAAGACGCCAGGGGTTCGATTGAAAAGGTATGTGGTCACCTGCCCGTCCACGTTGGTTTTCTGCGGATACTCCGGTTTGTTCCCACATTAAGACCCCCTATTCGCTAACGTCCGGGCTAACACGAGTGATTGGTATAAGTATATATACCTAGCTTGTTTCATAATTGTTGTAAAATAGATAAAGTATATATTCATTACATACGAGTTTTAATCTCTTGTAATATACCAGAATGAAACTCTTCTCCCACTATTAACTAACATCAGTACTACATTCATTGTTTGACGGTTTCCACGAGTCTTAAAGGCGTAGTTAATTGAAAACGTAATGCAAGTTAATCAAGGTGTACATGCGGACATTGAATCTTACAGGAAATAAATGATATATTATACAAAAATGTACGGTACATTAACTAAACTCAAATGTAATGTGCGTACTCATCAAAATGCAAATCACAATGTTTCACAATGAAATAACCCCAATTTATCATATACACGCAGGCTGCTATGACGTGTTATAATCTATTTTCAATACGTACACTGTATGTGTGTGATATCAACCAGAAGACAAACCTGCTATGTATTCCATTATACAACCCGGTCCCGTTATGTATGTGCCATTATAAAGCTGGATGTATTATTAAAAATCCGCCGCTAATGTTGTTTATTCAACTTTTATTGACCCCGCTAAAACTCGTTTAAAAAAATTGAATGCCGTTTAATCAACTTTAAGCAATCTCGCTAAAGCTCGTTTCATAAAAGAAATGTGTAATTTAGGCCTTTTAACATGTTACATATGGGCAAAGGAGCTTTAATGACAACAGGTGCGAGAACACTGGGCTGGCGACATACTACATGGACGATATATGTACACGTATGGAGGGAGCAACAACATTCAAAACCGAGCAATGAAAGTGTATCTTGGAGTGAATAAATATACTTCCAATACTGGTGTCCTTGGAGATTTTGGATGGTCATCTTGTCGGGCAAAACAACACAAAGAAGTTTTTAGACTTTACTGTAGACGACAAAATGCGGATACAGATATTGATCTACATAAGGTGTATATCAGGTGGTCATCTAGGAGAAGGAACTCGTGGGAAGGGCGTGTCCGCAATTTAGAAAACAAACTTAAGGTATTAAATATACTTAACACTTGCGTATCTGTTAAAACCAAACTACGTATAATTACCGGTTCCATTAACGGGAATGACGAAACTTTTTGGTTCTCGAAATCATGCAACGACAGTATTGCAAGCAGCAAACTAAGAACATACAGAAGATATAAAAAAGACAAGATAACGGAACATTATATGACGTCACTTATACACGTCACTATCGGAGCCACCTCGCTTAACTCAGACTCGGTCGTCTCCCCTTAATGTTGGAAACTGGACGCTACAGTAACTTGCCAGTAGAGCAAAGGAAATGCTCTTTCTGCTTAAACACAGTGGAAGATGAGTTTCATTTCCTTTGTGACTGTCCTGTGTATAGTGATATAAGATATGATCTATCTAAAAACGAAGTGAACTCCTTTAGTTATTTTAATGAACTTACTTCAACTGAAAAGTTGTTTTATTTATTGCAGGATAATGCGCTTCAATTTTCGCCTTCTAAAACCTTTTATTCTAAGGTGAGACGGAGGCGGTCGCTTTTAAATGTGTAAATATACAATTGTAAATTATAATGTATCGCAATATTGATTTAATTGTAATGTGATGAAGAAAGAAATGTTTTCTACTATTCTATCAGTTGTTTTTTACATGTAATACTCTATGAGGATATTTAATATGCACATATGCTAGGTCTTCACTTTCATTTTACACATGATGTACATACTGCTTAAAACTTGTATGGACACGCGTTCAACTCCTCTGAACCTTCTTGACCCTAATTAATCGTCAACGCTTCCGTCATTCCGTTCTGTTAAATAAGATTGAAGTGAATTCACTGCAGTCTTTATAACAGCTTTTGTATTTAAGCTACGTTTACGTTTAGCGTCCAAAATCTGCTGTAACTCCTCTTTACAACAAAACGGCCTTCATCGATGGCCATTTTCACTGTTGTCTTTTGGTTCTGAAAATGTGACGTCACGAGCGTTCCATTACAATTAACCGTTAAAGAGGGACGTTGTTTGATGTTTTTTTTTTTAAACGCCATTTATCTGCTCATATCCTTTTCAATTACATTACCAAATAACAGCCGCTAAGTAGACCATCCAATTCCGGTGTGATATCTAATTATTGAGTATTCCCAGTTAAAAGAGGTTACATAGTTATGAAAAGAGTTCAGGTGCAAAACACGTTTACGACTATCTACCCACAGCAATACCATTAGTGACGTCATCAATTGATAATTATTTAACATGTATCCGACATAAGCCTGTCGCTCGTCGTCGTCCTCATCGCCTTCAGCGATTTATCTTCCCGATTAAACAATAAATCCACGTGGGATGCGTATTATTGCGAAACAAACCTGGGGGCTCCTGGCAACAACAGGTGCAATGTGAACATTTCCGCGTACACTAGGCCAGCTTTACAACTTATTATAATTATTACAATGTATCTGTTAAACTTATACTAAATATAAACATCCTCGTGTGTTTACGGACAAGTCCATACCCAAGGCCTGACAATGTGCTGGCTAAGAGTACCATATGTACAATAGAAACGATTCCACGTACAACATTAAAATACACGATTTTAATCTTCTATTTAATTTCAACATCTGAAATCAGAAATGGCCTATCGATTCTATCTTGCTTAAACCTATAAAAGTCAGGCAATTTCCTAAATATACACATATTGTAAAAACATGATGAAGGGGGTTCTTTGACTGCTAGCTCTCTGTCAGACGGTGTGGGGACACGGGCGAATGCTTGAGCCCCCCGGGCGGTCCTCAGTGTGGCGTTTTTACCCATG